GCTGATATTTCCTCTTCCTATATATACCCCATTGCATTCAATTATAATTAACAAGAGAATGGTTTAAAAGATTTTAACAAGGGTTTAAACTTGTTTAGTGTTTGTTTAAGTTTGTTTTAAGAAGCTTTTAAGCATTTGAGTGTTTCGGTTTTGTGATTCAATTCTACAAGAGCTTGAGGAGATCATCTATTGGTGTTTGGGCATCCAACTCTTCTCCCTCCACTCTTGATATATTGAGAAGTTTTCTAAACTCTATTTCTAGCTTTTTTATATATTTGATTATCATTGTTATTAAGCTAGAACTACATTGAGTTTAGTTTTGATTTATATCTCTTTGTTCACACACAACCTTTTGAGCTTATTGTATTTACATTCATAGTATAATTTGGGGTTGTGGGTTTGTGACTAAGAGTTGTGCTTAATTGAGTTCTCACCTTGTTTTGAGAACAATCATTTGTCATATTTGTGCTTAATTGTGAAATCACTTTGTAATACACTTGTACACCGAGTGAGGAGTGTGTGGTGAGAGTCGGGGATCGTCCCAAGAGGAGTGGCGTCGGTTGACGGGCCTAGGGAGAGGTTGTAACCGAGCACTTGAGGGAGACACGGCTAGGTCCAACACTTAGTGGGTGTAGAGTGGGATTACAATAGTGTGTTGATTGTAAAGTTTTCGGTTAGCTAAAAAACCGAGTGTGAGGTGTAAAAGTGTGTAGAAGAAGTTCCGGCTTCCAAACCGGATTGTGTTAGTGGATTTCTCCCCGGGAGTGGGGAGCGGAGACGTAGGACGGAAGGTCCGAACTCCGTGATCATATTGCTTGTTTGAGTGTGCTTTGGCGTTCATTCATATTTATGTTCATATCTTATATCGCCATTGTCATTAGCTCATTATCTATATCATCCACTATCTTGTTTAGATTGTTTACCCCTTGTGTTAGTTTATATATATCCTTGCATATATATATTCATCATCTCTTTGATAGGATATATCATCTTGTGTTAGCTCATATATCCTTGCATATATCTCATAGTATCTTATCCTAGCTTATATATCTTGTTGTATTTCATACTTGCTAGGATAACTTATTAATTAATTTTAATTGGCATTTAATCGGATTAGATTAGCATAAGACCCTAATCACCCCCCCTCTAGGGTCTAACAGGAGGGACGAGGATTTCCTGACATCAGACAGCAGCTGCAGGTCCACAAGTGTTGGGCGTTTTCCACTTGCTTTCCGCAGTTCTCCGGCCGATACGGTGAGTGTTTGCTTGATGAGGAGAGGCCGAGGGAGTATCGAACTCATTTGGACATTGGCTGCTTTAACTGGCTGGTGAACATTAGGCCGGGTTATCTGACTTTTCGGGTGAGGAACCAGTGTTTCATAGAGCCATATCTACCCTGCCGATTCGCTCGCCAGTTTGGCTATGATCAGCTTTATGTCGGAAATCCACGTCAGCAGCTTCGGACCCACGGCGGTTTGGTGGACGGTCTCCGGGCGTGGTTGTGGACCGTGACGGGTTGTACTAGTGCTAAGTTCAGTCTCCCGAGTACTGAGCGGCAGTTGAATCTCACCTTCTTAAGCTGCAAGTGGTTGTTAGCAGCTAATAAAACTGTCTCCGTGAAGCCGATTGCAGAGCTAGAGGCCGAGGAAGCTTCTCAGGTTGATTCTCGTAGGATTTGGGAAAACGCTCGGTCGCAAAGGATACAGAACAAGACTCGTCGGATTAATGAAGAGGGGAAAAGGGTCTTCCATTCTGCAGACGAGGCTTCAGGCGGAGATCCTGAAGACTATGAGGACTTTTCCGAGCGAGGTTAACTACCATTTTTTTTTGTCTTCCAGAATTATTAAAACTGACAATGGTTTGATGTTTCAGGGACCATTGGTGACCAGGATGAAGAGTTGCGTCCTCCTCCCCAGGCGAGACCTTCGATTATTGTCCCTGCTACTAGGCGGAAGAGATTAGCCCGCAAGCCGCGCGCAGCTTCACAAGTACCTGATATGGATTTGGCTGGTGATGATCCTGCTAGTGATAGAGGTAACATCTACCTGTAAACCATCCTCTTGATTATTCAGAACTTCAACTCATGCTTTTCCATTTCTATATAGGAGAGCGTGGGGAAAGCGAGATGAGTCCTGATCCTGTATCTTCTGGCGAGCCTAACTCACCGCACCAGGTAGAAAGGCCTGCAGAAGCTGCCGACGTTAGGGAGGATATCAATGTAGGACCCGATTCAGTGAATCCAGGTACATCTACCATTGACAATATATCTTTTAGTTGGCATACAAAAGAGTTGAATGATTCAGAATTTGTGCATTCCCTAATTGTCTCTGTGCTCCTCGCTCCTTTAGATAACTTGCAGGAGGAAAACATGGATCTTGGGAATAAAGAGGCTAACGCACCTATAAGAGGTAACTCATTTCTATCGGTTGTAGTCTCTTCGTTCTTCTTTGGTACTTATATTCTCTTGTGTCAGATTTCTCAATTGATGATTTTGACGAGGAAGGCTTACTTGTGGACACTCCTATGCTCCACTTCATGTATGGTTCTCCTCAGATTGATGACCAGTTGCCTGGAGATATATTTCCTGAGTCCACGTTCCCTAAGAACCCCGAGGATGGTTCTTTTGAAGGTACGCGCCTCCTCCCGAGTTAATTATAGGACTAGCCAATTTTTGACTACTGCAGCTATAATGTGATGCCTCTGAGAATTCTGTTTTGTATTTGCCAGAAGCTTTTGTCGAGAATAATCCTGTTGAACCGTCGGTGGGACCAACTACACCAGTTGATACATCCACAGCGGTCACACCTCCACTACCCCCAGTGACTCAAGAGGGTATGAATTAAGTAACTGAGAATATTATTTATTTACTCCTCAAGGTCTTTTTCTGACGGATTTCTCTTTCTTTGTGTAGGGCCTTCTTCTCGTCTTCATGTCCTGGCGAAGGAGTTGTTATCTGACGATGACCCTGAGAAGATCGTAATCTGCATAGAAGTCCGCTCCTTCTTCTCTTTCGTGAATGCTATGATTGGCAAGCTTTTCCACGGTGGACTTTCCCTTCGCCAATTCAAGCCTTTCCTTGATTCCAAGGTCAATTCGATAAGGGAAGCAGGATATCCAGATTTGGCAAAGGCTATAGTTGACGACCTCTGATTCCAAGGTCAATTCGATAAGGGAAGCAGGATATCCAGATTTGGCAAAGGCTATAGTTGACGACCTTGATTGCCTAGAGCATGAGCTTCAGATGTTTCGTGAGCTCCGAGATGCAGGCGCTTCCTCATTTATTGCTGCCGAGTTGGATACCCGCTTACAATCATTGCGCGAGACTCGGATTCTTGATGAGCTCGATATTCAGACGCAGCGGGGCCGAGTAGATCGAGTTGAGACCAGTCTTGCCGCTAGATCATCTTCACTTGCCGAGCTCGACCTTTCTATTACCTCTTGTGCGACCGAGATAGACCAGCTCAGAAGGGTACTCCGTGAAAAAGAGGAGACTTTGGGTATTCTTCAGATAACGAGAGCACAGGATCAGCAAACCCACACTGCCTTATTTGATGAGTTGAAATCCTTGAAGCAGAAGCTAGTCGAGAGAGAGGAGATTGCTGCGAAGACTTCAACCACCACCGAGGAGTCCATCAGAGCTGAACTTAGGCAAGCTTATGATGAGAAGCTGTCTAAGATCAGTCAGCAGATTTTTGGTCATGGGTTTGATGTATAATTTTGTTTGCTGAGTACTTTTGACTTTTGATTTACTTAGTGAAACTGGTTCTCATTTTTATTTTTATTATGATTCGTCATTCCGTTTGGAATAATTGACCATAATACTCATAGGATTTTTGGCAAACCCTCAGCCATCAACGGGTTTGATGAGCCTTTACCGACTACCGTTTGAGTCGGGCTAGCATGCGGATTGTTTAAATCCGTTCGCATGTAACGTTGCGCTCAAAGATTGAATTCTCTGAGACTTTGTGCTATGATGTCGGATACATAGACTTTGCCATTGTTACGGGAATAGGCTACCCGGCGACACGTGTTAGGTGTTGGCTTTAGGATTTTTGGCTAACCCCCAGCCTTCAACGGCTTAGGTTTCAGGATAGAATACCCCAGAATCGAACTCTGGTGTCTTTTTCTACGGCGAAAGACTAAACCGGCGACGCGTGTTAGGCATCGGCATATCCTTTCTTAGGATTCAGGATGAAATTCCCCATGCGTGTAAGGCATGGATTTTGGTGTCATTAATAACAACCTGCCACAATGTTGAATATATGAACGGATGTTCTTTTTAACGGTTAAGAACTAACCGGCAGCGCGTGTTAGGCGCAGACTTATCCTTGCTTAGGTTTCAGGATAGGATACCCCAGAATCGAACTCTGGTGTCTTTTTCTACGGAGAAAGACTAAACCGGCAGTGCGTGTTAGGCGCAGACTTATCCCTGCTTAGGATTCGGGATAAACTTCCTAGGATAAATCCTAAATACTTGGAAAAGAGTTGGTGTGGGAAGGAAGAATTTTGTATTCTGTTCCCCAAACAAGGAAGGAAGAATTTTATATTCTGTTCCTTGGTTCTGGAAATGAAGAATTTTATATTCTATTTCCAATGCAAGAAAGAAACTAGAAGTGGGATCTCCACTCTGAGAATCCGGAAGATCTAAATAAACTTGCCTTTTATAGGATTGGTTATCTAGATGAGTTTTTCGTTTATCGAAATGAAGTTTCAACTCTGGTTATAACCATGAAGAGGTTTAACCAAAGAGAAAAGAAGGGAGTTCTTTCGTTTATCGAAAGGAGACTCTGAATTGAAAGTGGACCTCTTGTTCGTGAAAGGAATCAAGAGGGGAGTTTGCTGGTGGTTTGGACCAGAAAGACATTTTTGGTGGGCCCACTGTCAATTGAAATTGATCAGTGAGGGATTTTGGTGGTGAAACAAAGATTTCGGGTTATCCTCTAGAATATTAATTGTAATATTCTTCGAGGAACTTCCCGATAAATGGGTTATCCTGAACGTACTAGGGATAGTACTTTTTCAGGAACTTCCCATTTATTGGCATTAATTGCCTGACGCCCTCTATAGAAATGAGGCGATATGCGCCGTTTGAGTAGACTGTGTCTATCACAAACGGCCCTTCCCATTTGGGTTCGAATTTACCTTTCTTCTTGGAATTGAGGATTATCGGTCGGCGAGCAGCGAGGACCAGATCTCCTTCCTTGAAGCTTCTGTGGCGGACCCTTTTGTCAAAAGCCCTGGAAATTCTAGGTTGATAAAACTCGATGTGTTGTTGAGCCTCCAAGCGCTTTTTATCCAACCTCTCGAGTTCTTCGAGACGCTTCTGATGTTGCTCTTCGGTCGTCATCTCCGTTGCGAGAGCGATCCGAAGGGAAGGGATTTGAATCTCCAAAGGCAGCACAGCTTCACATCCGTACACTAATGAATATGGGGTGGCCCCTGTAGGTGTGCGTATAGTGGTACGATAAGCCCAGAGCGCTTCACCGAGTTTATCATTCCAGTCTCGTTTATTGGTTTTCACGAGCTTTGACAGGATCTTGATGATCGTCTTGTTAAAAGCCTCAGCTAATCCGTTTGCGGCGGGATAATAAGCTGTTGACGAAACATCTTGGATCTTGAACTCGTCACAGAACCTGACGAAAGCGTTGCTTATGAATTGCGGACCGTTGTCATGGATGATTCGTCTAGGCACTCCGTGTCGGTATATGACATAATGCTTGATGAAGTTGATAACGTTGTTTGTCTTTACTTCTTTAAGCGGAATTGCTTCAGCCCACTTTGAAAAGTAGTCCGTGATAGCGAGAATGAATCGATCACCTTTGACTGAAGGGGGAAAGATAGGACCAACGATGTCCATACCCCATGTTTCGAATGGCCAGGAGGTGGTTGACGTGTGTAATCGCTCCGGTGGTTGGCACTTGACACGTGACATCCTCGCGCGTATTCGATCGCGTCACGAACCATTGTTGGCCAGAAATATCCCATTCTCCTGATGCGATCATACAGTTTGGGACCGGGCTGATGCGCGCCGCACTCTCCTTCATGTGCTTCCTTAAGAACTTCTTCTGCTTCTTCGTTCGAAAGGCATCGGAGGAGCAAATCATCATACCCTCGACGGTATAATGTACGGGTCTCGGTATTATAGAAGAACCTTGGTGCTCTTCGGCGAATAGATTCTCTTTCTTTCACATCTTCCGGCAAAATGCCATATTGGACGTAGTCAATGATGGGAAAACGTCAATCTCGGGACCCAGACCCGATTTGAGTTAAGTTCACCTCCTTGGCGTTCGCATTTTTGTCATCTTCCTCTTCGTTATCCATATTATATATGGGTATACAGAGTTGATGTGATCTCACTATGACTAGTAGTTCAGTTTCGGGCGGCTGCGCGAGTGATACTGCTAGTGCTGCCAGTGCATCCGCATAAGCGTTCTGGAGACGAGGGATGTACTCGATAAAGAATTCTTCAAAAGAACTTGCCATTTTGACGGCTTCCTGGTGGTATGGGATCAAGTCTTGGTTCCCGACTTCATACTCCCCACGGACTTGATTGACGATCAATTGAGAATCTCCAAAAGCTTCGAGATATTCGACCCCCAGCTCCTTGGCGAAACTGAGTCCAATAAGGAGCGCGTTGTACTCGGCTACGTTATTGGAACATGGATCTGTCAGAGAGTAAGCTCGAGGCATCACATGCTTCCCCGGGGAAACTAAGACAACTCCAACTCTGGAGGAGACTTTAGGACATCCGGGGGTTACTGCTTTATTAACTGATCTCGAAGCACCATCAAAGTATAATTGCCATACTTCTTGATGCGACGTAGTGTTAACCTCGTGGGTTTCATCCGACAAGTCATCATATACTTCTGCCCGTATCTGTTGCGGGCCTTGCCCGCCAAAGATACAAATCGCTTGTTCCTTTGACCGACTTTTCTGTTGTTTGAAGTGCAAGTCATCAATTTTGGTACAAGAGAAGGGCCATTTTGCAACCGCCTAAAAAAAATTTTCCCCCCCCAAATCCCGAAAGACCCGGTTTTTTTTTTTTTTTTTGCCCCCGCGTCATAAATACCCGATCGGATTAACTTAGAGATAACGTAATGCGTTCTGCCGATACCAAATATCCCAGCATCTTTGTACCGCAATAACCAATGGTAGACATTCTTCTCAATCATCGGATATCGGATACTCGCGTCTACAAAGTCCGACTTAGATAATAAACTGCCTGTTCTGACCATTATCATCGCTTGTGCAAAAAGCACTTATCGAAATGTTCATCGCCTTGATTGTAATCAAAGAAACGTTTACCTTGATTTTGGTGCGACAAGAACATGAGGTCGTCAATACGTCTTGATATCTTCGAGTGCTTTTGGCAGGAATCCGTCCCAATAGAATTGAACACCTTTCCTTGTTATCTTAGAGAAGGGTGCACTTCCGCAGAGAGATTTGAATAACCCGGAATGTAAGCTAAAACCGAGACGACCCTTCGCAATGCCTCTGAGTCTCCTAGATTCTCGGGGTTGCAACTCATGTTTAAAAAAATTCGCCCCCCTTTTTAAACCGTTGTCAGGGTCGATATGTATCCCTTATGTGACAGAATCCAAGAATTTCCGCTGGACATTCCAAAGGAAGGATTTAGTGCTCATCTTCCAATTGATGAGTCCGCAATGAATCAGAACATCGTCTTCAATCCTTGATGTGATCTCTTTGTTGCGGCTTTTTATCAACAAGATCATCCACGTAGCACTCAACCGTTCTGAGGTGCTTATGGAAATTTAGTCACGCTCGTGGTATGTGGCCCTGCGTTCTTCATACCGAAAGTCATCACTAGTTGTACAAAGACACCAGGGGCGTCTAAATGCTGTATTTTCGTCATCTGGGTGCATCT